AATGTTTAGGGGTATGTGTAGCCCTACATCCCCCCAGAACAAAAGCACTGTATATATCAGTAAAATTGCATTAATGCCATCATTTTTTTATGTAACTGTCTTTTTGTAGTTTGTTTAAGTTCTCTTTGTTGCTTCAGTTTTTTTGTACACTACATACAGATACTTTTAATATATTAAGTGGTATAGAAATTAAATAACCATCTTGATCCTGAATAACAGGAAAGGGTGGTTGGGAAAATAACTATTTAATGATACAACTAAGGTTGCAGTCCTAGGAACACTCACTTGGAAGTAAAACTCAGCAGACTTGATGGAACTTGATCTTGAGTAGTTCATGTAGGACCAATGTGTGAGAACAATGAGGGTACCGATTGTCAACACTATTTGTCCCCCACTACCTCTAAACACACATGGGGGGGGGGAAGCTTTGAATTAGAAGGAACCTTTCATATTGGCTCAGCCACTCCAAAATGTTGAAAAAAATGTATCTAATTTTCAAGCAAAAGGTTATTTCTTTTCTACATAAAGACATCCACTTACATCTAGCAAGGTTTAGGACTTTTGTGTTTCTTTTGTTTGATGTTTAATTCAAAAGCAACATGAACTGCTTTATGCCCAGTGACATTAATCTACCCTGAGAGCAACAGAAATCCACTTCTGTGTTTTCTGCAGCTTAGTAACCCATGTTTAACCTTTCAACATAGCCTAGCAACCTTTAAATGAGCATTTAAATGTTATAGCCACAACAGGAAAGCACATCCCATGTTGCTACTGGAACACCTAAAGAGCATATAATCAGGGGTACTGAAATTAATGGCCCCTTTTCTAAAGAGGAACTCTAGTTTGTTCCAATCACACACTCTGGAGGGAGAAGGTCCAAGGAACAGCTGCCAACCTGTATGACCTGTATGTTCCTAGGATGAATGATCTTCAAACAGAAGCACCTGGAGTCACTTCCATGATGGCCTTATCTTGCTTTGGAATAAAATAAACACTAGTTTCTTTTTATAGGCTGGCCCCACTCCTTACATTCTGGGAGAGTAATTTTAATACCATAACATAAGGATTAAGAATAAAGAGAGGAAATTGGTTAGCTAGACTCAAATGTTGCTTCTAGACAATCTCCTCCACCTATCCCCAATATGCATTTGATCAAATGGAAAAGGGCAGAGGGATGTGGGATCACTTATATGAAATGACTTATTTTAACTTGTAGAAACAACAATGTTAATGCGGTCTGTTGTAAGCAGTTTATTGTCCCTGGCTTACAACTCCCTTTGGAATGTCACTGAGCACAGCAGCAGACATAAATAACATCCTTAAAGTCAAAACACCAAATATTTATTTCTGTAATCTGTACTCCCTGGGCTTTAACAGGAGCTAGTTTTTAGACCACGTTTCTTGTTTTGGTGTGTAAATACATTAAGAATATTTTTCTTTGGAAATAGGCTCATACAAAACTTATGATAAGGATTAGTGCAGAAGGCCTAGGACAGAGATAATAACAACCTCAAAGTTGGAAGCCAATCAGATGGTACATAATGGTATGCTATAATATGGGCAATAACAACAGTGAAATTATGTCATCTATAGGGGCAAGACAGCTATTACAATAGAGACCCATATTGGCTAAAATATGGGTCTCTATTGTGGTAGCTGTAGTTTTTCCAAGTCATCGTAAACTATGATTGCTACAAACCAGGAAGTGATGGGAGTAATCAGTGCACATATGGTAGGAAGAGGGGAAAGGCTGTAACACATTCCCAATGTGGTCAGAACATCAGAATGAAGTAAAACTGTCTTACCACATTTTTAAGTTTGAAAGTTTATGAATATCAGCCCAACTTTGCACAAAGAAGCCATGGTTTCTTTGATCACTTGTGGGACAACTTGTGATTAAGCCATGGTTTGTTAAAACAAATCATGGCTTAAACAAATCATGGCTTAAATAAATCATGGCTTAGCATTATGTATGAACCAGGCCACTGTGTTTTAATGTCTAGTTTTAATGTTGAAGTGGCTAGTTTGTAAGCCACCAGGGGATCACACCTGATAAAGGGAGCTACAAAAATCAAATAAATAAAATATATGTAAATTGTTCCATCTCAAGTGGTCCGAGCAGCCTCTGAGTGCAACCCCAGGTATGATCCAAAACAGGCATGGATTAGGTGTGCATGCCTGATGCAAATCACTGCCAGGACATAGTTCTATTTGCACACATGCTGGGGCTAATGCTTAAGTATTCTATGTATTATGGAGAACAAGGTGGTAGACAAGGCTTCCTCAACCTCAGCCCTCCAGATATTTGGAGACTCATTTCCCATCATCCCTGACCACTGGTCCTGCTAGCTAGGGATCATGGGAGTTGTAGGCCAAAAACATCTGGAGGGCCGAGGTTGAAGAAGCCTGTGGCAGACCAAGGTAATTGAATTCTGGCCTCTACTATTTCAGTTTGCAGGTTGGAGGGTCATATTTCTAATTCCCAGATGAACAAAATTCTGTGTCTGAGTAGTAAATTGACACCACTGTTTACCCGACGTGTTAAATGTTTCTACATGCAGGAAACTTTTTAAATGTGTGGGAGAACTCAAAATGCACTCCTACATCTGTAGTCTGAAGTGGTACAATAATTATCTACTAGCATTAGGTATCACCCTAACAGGGCAATCCTAACCATGTATAATCAGAAGTTGTATTTAATTCTGTTGGGCTTATTCCAAGGTAAATGGCATGTGTGTAAAATATACATCTGCAAAAACATACTTTGGCTACATCCTTGGGGCCTGTTTGGGACATTCTTTATAGAACAGCTTAAAAACACCTGAACCAGCCTTAGTGTTAATTAGCAATTCCAATCAGTTAAAGAAGTTCAAGTCACACCCTGAAGACTATCAATTAACAAGAAAGGGGAGGAAATACCTCACAAAATATAGCTTGCTCAAAATTATGTTAAGTTGTGTATCTCATTTGTTCTGAGCGGTTGGGGGTTGATTGCTCATTTTGTTAGTTACCTTGCAGAATAGATAAGTGTCCAATGACAAGAGGCTTTTTTAAAAGAAAACATAATGAATAAAAGACTTCATTTAAAAACAACAACTTGCATACCAGTTAATTTAATCCTGTTTGAAGATTAAACTTCTCTCAAGATAGAAGATGTGGGGGGGAGAAAGGTTAGAGGGATGATGGATTGTAGCACAATTCATGAGCCGGCAGTCTGCTGAAAAATTCTCTCTCTGAGTGATTTGTTGACTCAGCACTCACATGCTTATTTCGCTGTAGTAGTACTATTAAAATCCTACTGTGCTCGGACTTGAACACACAATTAGAATGCAGTCTTGCAGACATGAATGCATTGGAAATTTTGCCTGCTGTCACAACTGTGGTTACATGTGGAAAAGCGAAGGGCAGGTGAATTGTTAAAAATGTAACTATTCAGAATGAGATAGCAGCAGTGCAGAAGTATCATTAAGACTTACCTACCGCAGCTTCCATTCCTCTCCCCCAGAAACCACCATGGCTCAATACATGGAAGAAACTCAACTAGGCTAGATTTAGAAGCACGGCACTCTTAAAAAGATAAAATATTAACAAACAATTTCTGGTCATGAATAAAATATGTACATGGCTTACTGCTGCAGAATGAGTGAGTCATCTTTGTGGCGAAAAATGAAACAAATAAACCCTCCAATAAATATTTACAGATTAGATTAAATAAAGTAACACACATTGGAAATGATCTAACCAAATCCACTTGATCCCAGTAAAAGGGTTTAGCACATTATTAAATCTCTTATATTAAAATCAAAGGAACTGTAATGGTATTTTTCTTTTAAACCAGCAAACATTATGTTTTTATTAACTCTCAAATACATGTTGCAGAATTAATTCTGCACCAGGCTTTATAAAATTAATGATATATTCTAAATATGCCACATAATATTACTAAGTAGAAATGATGCCAAAGTTAACTTACAACGTATTTTCAGCATTCTACCATTATAAAGTATGACAATCCTATCCTTTATCATCTTATCCTTTATAATGTTGATACAATATGCCCTATCAATTGTTTATTTACTCTTGGTTGTTTACAGGGGTACAAAATCAACCTTTAAACCCAAATTAATTATAGACATAAAATCAAACAGAAGAAAACAAAACAGCAGATATTAAATTCCTAAAAGTCCTGAGAATAAGATAGCTTTTGTCCAATACCTAATACTGTACCTAAATGATATCAAAGCAGGCAACAGGAGGGACTTCAAAGCAAAGTGACAAAGTGCCCCCTCTATGGTTTATCATCTGCATTACTTTGGATGACTTCAGACCTGAAGAAATGCAACAGCAAATCACCTTACTATCTGGACAAGATGGTAATATATAAGGACAGGATTTTATTTTTTTAATGTACTTTGGACTGGCATCATTTAAAGTATTAAGCATTAGCATCCTAAACTGGGACGAGAAACAAACTGTCAACAAATCACATTATTTCAATACTGATAAGATAAGTTCTTAGGGAACTGTTAAAAGCTTTGCAACCACATTTTATAGCAGCTGCAGCTTCTGAAGCATCTTCAGGTGCAGTCATCTAACTGAGAGGCCACCATCACACGGAGAGCCGTGAATGAACATGCTATTTCTCCCCAGAAGAGGCTGCAGTTGGAATACCAGCCTCACTTCGTAAGAGGTACTCGTACTCCATGCCAACTTAAGGAGTTTGGCATCCATTTACAAAGATGGAGGAAAGAGAACCCCCCAAACTGCAAACCTGATTGCTTAGGGATGGTTTAATTCCATCCAGAAGAGGTCGGGAGTACCTTCTCCCTGAACCCAGGTCCTTTCTACACACGCACTTTATCTTGTCTAGCCTGAGCTAGACAACATCCAGCCTGGTGTACAAACTGTTTGGGGTGAAAAATAGTTCCCTTGTAACAGTTAAAAACTCTGTCTGGAGGAGTGCAAATCTTGTGTCTGATCCATTTTTCCTCTATTTTTTTCTATGCCAGTTAGTAACAATACCTGAATGTTTTGGGAAGGTTGAAATTGTTTTTTAAAACTCGAGTATCTGCTAGGCTGTGCCTATGATTGGTTTGGTGAAAATATATTGTATAGTTTGAAAGTCAGTCATCATGACCTTGGAGTAAGTTCCATTGAACTCAAAATAGGATTTACTTCCAAATAGGTAGGTACAGGTTTACGTTGTTAGTGGAAAGAGAATCGTGAGCGCAAGTTATGCAATCTAAGTAATTTGTGGGCAGTGTACTTGCAGGCTCCTTGCAATATTTATACTGCTGTAACAGTCTCAGGGATTTTATATGTTGTTTCTTGAAAAATTGGAGAACATGTTGTACCAGCCACTCAAGAGATCTTGAATGTCAAAATTCACACCGAGGTGATAAATACAGTAATCACAAATTTTAAGAAATATAAATACAGAAAATCTCCAGGCAGGGATTAACATGGCAATATACGTACTAAACATCTGGGCAGCTATTCTTTCACAATAACTTGATGTATACGCCTGACAAAACATTGATTGAGTTGATGTGGCTGTACATTGTGGAAATAAGTGAGGTAGAATATAGTATAGTAGTAAATAGCCTGAAAGAAATGCAATACTGCAGTTTTTTCTATTCACTTTCTATATAGTTCTTAAGGGTTTCCTGTCGGTTGGTACTGCTCTGGACATTACCCATTGTCTTCCCTTTAAAAATAAAAACCACAGAAATTCTAGAATTGTTTCTTAGCATGAAAACAGTAGGTTAAGATGTCCACCTTGACTTCTGTAAAATGGAAGTATTATACAATTTCTATTGTCTTGAATACTGCACTCATTTGCAATTTAGCCTGCATGCGTGCATGCAAAATCTAAATAATCATTTTGTTAGAACAATGTGGATTATTCTACAACATACTCAGTACTGGCGTATGGTGCTGTTGGAGCCCACACACTACGCAGAATCACAAACATCTGGGTCAGTGCACATTCACGTTCTTGAGCAAAACTACTGCAGTAAAGACTTCCTCCTACACGCTGCATTTTGAGCTGTGCTTGCTCTTGTTTGAATGTTATAAAATATTAAACACTGCTTCATATTTGTTATCATAATACATTTTGAACAATAGTCTAAAGGCATTTTTTTTATTACTTCAAGCAATAAAACAGAAAAATATGTAACCAAAGCAAGCCAAGGTGCGCATGTAATTTTATTACTAGACACTTCCATCTTTCCTTGCTGGAATGCTTTGATGGATTTCCCAGGACACTAGTCATTTAACCACTATTACGGCTATTCAAACTGCTTTGAAACATCTTCCCCCAAGTATGGCAGTGTAGCCCCTTTTCTGATTCCCCTTCACCTATGATGAAAGTTAGCATTCCCTTAATTTCATTTTTGTAACTACAGCTGATTATTCTAAAGAATATTTCTCAATATTAAATGGTGAAAGTGGTTGAACATTTTTTATACAAAGGCATCACACAAAAAGCAACAAGGGGAGGTGACCTTAAAGTAGGTGCCTAGAAGAAAATGCTCAGCATTTTTTAATAAACTCTTTGTTGGGGTGCTGGTTTAAATCCTTCTGTGGCAAAAAGGTGTTTCCAAAGCATTCGAGCAAAAACTCATTCAAGCCTCCCCCATCTTCTTACACAGCCATAACTAGAGGGAAGGATTCTGATTAATGACAGACAACCCATACTCAACAGATTGAAGCAGTATCATCTACACAGAACTCAGGCTAAGTATGATGTTTGCTGTAAGGGTGTTCCTTTTGTCAACAAATTCACAAATTCTGTGTGCATAGGAAACATTCTGTTCCACCTATTGCACATACTCATTATCCTGGGCTCATATAAAATCTTATGGGGAGTCCCAGAAGACTTCCTGACTCCTCATTTCATGCTGGCAATTGCTGGTGTGAGAGTAAACCCAGTATGTGAGCTGCATGAAACAGAAGATGGAAGCAGGGTTGTGGGTAACAAGACATCATGGGACAACAGAAAAATAGCAGTAAAATTCTTACCATTCCATGCAATATATGTGCACAAATAATATCTGTATTGATTCTGTAAAAAAACAACTATATTCCAGGTAAACCTACCTGGACTCTGTGTTCATCATCTGAGGCCCTTCTTCATGAGAGCAGGCCTTTTCTGCAGTGGCCCCCCATTTGTGGAATGCTCTCCCCAAGGAGGTTTGTCTGGCACCAGGTGAAAACGTTTCTCTTCAATCAGGCCTTTGGCTGATTAATATTCTACAGCCTTTTAAATGTGTTGGGGGTGCGGTTATTCTGCTGTTTTAACTATTTATTTGTGCTTTTACCTTGTGCTTTAATATTGTGAACCACCCTGAGATCTTGTGATGAAGGGCTTATAAATCTAATAAATAAATAAACATACAAACTGTATTTGTGATTCTGAAAGAAATTATTTTTGCCGTTGCCATCAAATTCCTCAGGGTAATATGATGAAAAGCATCTCAGCTGAAGGTCTACACCAAGGGTCAGCAAACTTTTTCAGCAGGGGGCTGGTCCACTGTCCCTCAGACCTTGGGGGGGCACCGGACTATATTTTTTGGGGGGGATTAACGAATTCCTATGCCCCACATATAACCCAAAGATGCATTTTAAATAAAAGGACACATTCTGCTCATGTAAAAACACGCTGATTCCTTGACCGTCCGCAGGCCGGATTTAGAAAGTGACTGGGCCGGATCTGGCCCCTGGGCCTTAGTTTGCCTACCCATGGTCTACACATTACCCACATTGCCAGAGAAACCATAAATTCTAAAGGACATTAGCAGTGAAAATAAAGGATGTACCCCTTTAAACCACTACCTAGGTAGGAAGCCTATTCTACGCTTAGGTTCCAGCAATAGTGCATCTACCTTAATTTAATTCAAGATCATGACAGAAACAATCTCTCTCAACACGAACATTTAAATGTTTCATCATTAAGCAAAATTATAGTATTAATGGAGTTGGAAGCATTCTAGTTTTAATGTAATAGAGTTTGCTTTAAATGGGTCGCAATGCAAAATATTGGAATGAATGGGCTCCAGGCAGTTATCTGATATGTCTTGGCATCTCAAGCAAAAAAACCCCCAAAACATAAACCGGAACTTTGCATTCCAGATGCTGCAGTCCATATTTTTACATCCTCAAAAGACAGATTCCACACTCCTTTGATGGTACATTATACATTTTATGCAAATGACAGAGTTTAAACCAAAACCACAGAATCACCAATGAAGTCAAGACGGTTTTCACATGCCTGCGAGCAATATGCAATAAAAAGAAATTGAAATACAAAAAAATGAACTGTCAAAGTAGACTGTCAATAAGCTGAATACTATGAGACATGTCTGCAAGACATATCAATGTTACTTCATGACAGGTTTTCAGCTATCTGACTAGCACTTTGGCTGATGACTACAGCTGTAGGAACCATACTGAAGACTGTACTGTAGTCTAGCCACTGAGCATAAGAAGCAACAGTCCAGTGTTTCAGTACTCCCAAGCTTGTATTTAACGTTTGCCAGAAAATCCAAACATTTAAGATGTCACAAAATAAATGGCTTATATAATTAGATCCATTCAAAATATTTATTCCCTTTCTTTCTAATTTCAAGAGCCCTCTGAAGTGACTTACAACAATAAATGATTAATATCACTATTATAGCGCTTATTTTTTGTGTGAAGAAGCACTTTTCATTGGCTCATGCCTCTACAATGGTTCCCAAACTTTCTTTTTTCATGGACTCTTTCAAAATCGCTGAGTGCCCTGGCAGACCACTTAGTGATTTTTCTGCCTGCGTGCCAGTGTGGTGTAGTGGTTAATCTGGTGAACCGGGTTCGCTTCCCTGCTCCTCCACATGCAGCTGCTGGGTGACCTTGGGCTAGTCACACTTCTCTGAAGTCTCTCAGCCTCACGCGCCTCACAGAGTGTTTGTTGTGGGGGAGGAAGGGAAAGGAGATTGTTAGCTGCTTTGAGACTCCTTAAGGGGAATGAAAGGCAGGGTATCAAGTCCAAAGAACTCCTCCTCTTCTTCTTCTTCTGTTGTAACAAGTGCAACGCACTGCGCTAGATTCTATATGGTTTTTAATTGTATTTTTGTGGACGTACCACAACTACCTGAAATAAGCAGTTTGGGAACCCCGGTTCTATGAGTATTTGCAAGAAGTGATATCCCAGTAACCAAGGTTAGGTTGGTCTCACCTCTCAGAATACAGAGATAAAAAAGAGGCACAGAGGAAGGTGTGGTCTTGAGGGGGGGGGAGAAAACAGCTGAAGAGAGACAGCTGCAAGGAAAGGTTGCCAGGAGAATAAGAAGTCATAGCACTACCTGTGCTAATGTCCAGAGGGGCCAGCTTAGGAGAAGGAAGTGGGTGAAACCTGAGCACAAGAAGCAGCCTATAGGGAGGTTCTGTGTGGAAAAGGGCTCCTGAGTTCTGGGCTCACTAGGTATACTCTGAAGCAAGAGCGGCATGAGATTCTGAGGAATCTCAAATGAAGTGGGTTAGAGGGGAGGCCAACTCCTCTCTAAAATGTAACAAGCAGCTATATATCAAATTCCTAATGACTCACCAAGGTTTGAGAGAATAAAACCATCTTAAACTGCCATTGAACATAGAGGAGAGATGGTGCAAAAGGATAAATATTTGAAGAGGCTCCACCATGAAAGGGGGCCACACAATGAAGAGGACCTATTTCAGGCTAGTTCATGTTTCCAAAGACAGTCTTCAGAGGCAGTGCCATCTGTAACACATTGCAGTAACCCAATATGGATGTTACAGAGCTACAGATAACAAACAAGTCAACCATTTCCCAGCAAGGGCTTGAGCTAACTCTGAAGTGAGGAGAATGTCAGCCCAGGAGTGGTCTTTCTTTGTGGTGGCCTCAAAATTTTGGAACTCCTTCCACCCAGAAATGTATCAAGCATTTTCTTTGTTTTCACTGTATACGGAAGACGTACATCTTTACACTGACCTCTGTAGCCCAAAGTGTTTTGTTTTGGGGACACACTGCTGTTGTTCAATCTATACTAGTCTGTTCAGAAAAGTTCTATCCATTTTTATAACAGTAACTTTTTTGTTTTTCTAACTGTATATTATCTTGTGATAATCCGTCCTGGAAGCTCGTGGTGAAAAATTAGCAGGAAATCTTATAAATAAATAAACATAATCAACTGAAGCTGCTGGAAGCTGCTCAAAACTACCAGTACCAGTTGGGCATACAGTGGTACCTCGGGTTAAGTAATTAATTTGTTCCGGAGGTCCGTTCTTAACCTGAAGCACCACTTTAGCTAATGGGGCCTGCTGCTGCTGCCGCGCCACCGGAGCACGATTTCTGTTCTCATCCTAAAGCAAAGTTCTTAACCTGAGGTATTATTTCTGGGTTAGCGGAGTCTGTAACTTGAAGCGTATGTAACCTGAAGCGTATGTAACCCGAGGTACCACTGTATAAGATCAAGTCCAGTTCTAACAGGTCCTCCAACTTTTGAACCTGTTCGTTAGGGAATGCAGTATTGTCTGGAAGAGAATTATCATCTCCTTCACTTAACTGCATTATAGACACAGTTACTCTTTCACCACCAACAAACATATAGGAGATAAAGCCTTCATAGAAGAAATACAAGCACAGTTTGTTGAAAATCCAGCCAATTTACATATGCATATTTACAGAGGAAAACGTTATGTATATATTTATGTATGCTTACAGAGTTCTCTTCCTGCTTCACGTTTAACATGAGTTTGGTCAATTTTGAAGCTGGGTGTGATAAATACACCTCTTGTCACTCACTTTAAGACTTTGCACCATCGTATTGACTTTGTAATGGTAGTCAGTCCTTAATCTTTCTTTCTTTCAGCACTGGTTTTCGGTCTTGCCTGGAATGCAAGCCTCTTTAGACCTAAGGGCAAGACAAGCTAGTTTCTCAGTGGTGAAAAAATGCTCAAAAGTCACTTTTATTTATTTCTCATCGCTGGTATTTAAAACAGATTCTAGGATTCAGACCCAGAAGAAATTACCATCTGCTGCTGGCACAAGGCTCCCCTCCTTCCACTTGCGTAATAAAACTGCTATAAATTTATTGTGGGCAGATTCTCTCAGATATTCACAAATTGGTATCTGATCTGTGACCAGATAGAATTTTTGTGTCAGTCAATATCAATTCAAACATAATATTCTTCTGTCCCAACGGTTTCCACGTTTGGCTTAGAATCATAGCACACGTTATCAGAAAATGGACATTCTTGTATGAATAAGACCCTAGCGTATTAACCTTGCAGCATAAATCGTGTCCTCCTTAAAAGAGGGCACGTGTTGCGGTGAGACCTGGAGACTGACCTCATGTGTTGTGGGTGGGTTGGATTGGTTTGTCACAACACCCGATTGGTAGGTCCCTCATTGTTGGGTTCAACCTGACCAATGGGGTGCAGTCCAAACGGATCAAGGGACCTGTTTATACCCATGCACGTGACCCAGAGCTTCTTCTTTTGGCTCATGCATTCAGAACAAGCTAACAGCGTGTCCTCTGTGCAGCCGAGAGACTTACCTTCAACAGATAGTGTTGGTGTTTTCTTTCCGTTTTTTATTCCCCCTTTTTGTTATTGCCTTTTATTGTTCCTTTTTGGGTTGTCCTCTTCCCCTTCCCTTCCCTTCCCTTTCCCTTCCTTCTAGCAAGGCTTTGCCCCCAGGCGCTCCCGTTGTGGAGCTTGCCACTGCCCGTTTATTGCTCCCTCACATTGCAGCGGCTGGTCACTCCCTCCCTCACATCATTCTGGAATTTTTGCCACAGGAGAAGGTTACCTTGAGGCAGATTCAGTCGCTGTTGGGCCATTTGAATTTTGCTTGCAAAGTGGTTGCCCTGGGTTGCCCTTTTTGCACACACTTAGCAAGACTCTCTGCAGGCCTGAGATTACCCCATCATTGGGTGCGTTTACCCAGCGAGGTCAGGGCTGACCTTGAGGTGTGGCTTGAATTCCTGAAGGAGTTCAATGGTGTATCCTTGTGGCAGAATACTCTGAATCTGCACTTTGATTTCCAGGTCTATTCGGACGCTGCTAGATCCTGGGTTTTGGACTCTATTTCTGTGGCCGTTGGTGTGCTCAGTGGTGGTCTTCATTTGTTCAAGCAAAGCAGATCAGGACACAGTAACAGGAGTGGGGTTCACAAAACCAACTTTGCTGAGAAAGAAGACTGCTCTGAAGGGTGGAAGCAGCAGAGATGAAACACCTGGGGCCCCTAAAGTTCTATGCAAGGTTACAGAATGTTAGTAAACATTTGAAGTTGTTGGGGTTTTTTAATTTTTAAATTAATTTTCTGTAACAAGATCAGTAACAGAGTATTCACAAAACCATTACTGTCACTTCTTTGTACAAACGTAAATCATAAACATAACAAGGCTAACAAAAATGGGCCACTAGGGTGGTAAAAACAAAACATTATTTTGCAGTACACAAGAATGAGGTACCGTAAATACAATTTAAACCAGTTCAATGAATTCTTCAGTAAATCAACTTGGAAATGTACTGAAGAGTATTGTCTGCTTATGTATGCCATATTGCATTATATGTAGAAGGTATTTCTTATCCATGGTATGTTCCATTTGTATATCTAATAAAAGCATACTATAAAGCACACAAAGTTGTAACATGTGCACAGAGGTAGCAAGTGTTGGTGATAAAGAAAATACATAGGAAGTAGCCCCATTGCTGAAAGATGCAGATCATGAAATAGGATGCTTTAATTAGCATGTAATTAAGCCAGGTTGGAAGGATAAACTGTGGTATAGTTATGCAGAAGTCTGAAGAGTAAGGTAAAGGTAAAGGGACCCCTGACCATTAGGTCCAGTCGTGACCGACTTTGGGGTTGTGGCGCTCATCTCACTTTATCAGCCGAGGGAGCTGGCGTACAGCTTCTGGGTCATGTGGTCAGCATGACTAAGCTGCTTCTGGTGAACCAGAGCAGCACACGGAAACACCGTTTACCTTCCCGCCGGAGCGGTACCTATTTATCTACTTGCACTTTGACGTGCTTTCGAACTGCTAGGTTGGCAGGAGCAGGGACTGAGCAACGGGAGCTCACCCCGATGCGGGGATTCGAACCGCCAACCTTCTGATTGGCAAGTCCTAGGCTCTGATAAACAGTTAGATATTTGTAAGCTATAACAAAGAGGCCAGGGAAAGTTATCATATGAAGATTTTAAAAACAGACTTGAAGCAGAGTAATCACTGCTGCCTGTGGGCATTGAACATACACCACCGTAAGAGATCATATTATGATTGGAGTTAAAATACTGTATCCAATAAATAAAAAATACTATAGACTTCTAGATGACAAAAAATGTTAACAATTAGACAAAGCAGTCAGAATATGATGGGCATCTGATATTATCTGCATCAGCAAATATTTTCTGAACAAAAAAGTGTGTTTTCAGTGGGGCTTTACCAATAACCCCCCTCCCAAAGCTTAGATTGTCATAGTAATTGCTGCTGTTTGCAAAAGCAAACAGCTGGTGCTTCAAAACCTTACCATTCTACCTAATAGCATTGACATAATCATGCAAGCAATCAGAGTTAGATCATATAATTGTAGCATTGGAAGGGACCCTGAGGATCATCTAGTCCATGGGTAGGCAAGCTAAGGCCCGGGGGTCGGATCCAGCCCAATCGCCTTCTAAATCCGGCCCGCAGACAGTCCAGGAATCAGCGTGTTTTTACATGAGTAGAATGAGTAGAATGTATTTAAAATGCATCTCTGGGTTATTTATGGGCCATAGGAAATCGGTCATTACTTTTTTCCAAAATATAGTCCAGCCCCCCA